GCAGTGAAGAATCCACACCTCGGGGTGGTATAGCAAGCAGTTTTACAATCAAAACAAGCAAGTTAATCCTACAAATTCCTGTACAGTGTTTGCAATTACACTGATTAAAAGTGACAACTATACTGTTTTCAGTTTTGCTTGGTCACCTGCTTCCCATGACTCATTACTGGGAATAAGCATACCCTTTCAGAGACCAGTCTTGGCCAGAGGCTGCTCCCTGAGGGAGGGGTGGAAAGAAGCCAGGTGCAGGGGGAAACAGTCTATGTCCAGACAATACCACACAATTGGTAAAGGAGAAATTTAATCATTAAAGTTTATAATGAGTGGGTAAAGAAAATGTAGTTACCAAAGAAATTTTTAAAAAACCCACCTCGAACAACCCGTTCCCAATTCTTTTTTTTTCCCATTCAGAGTCTCACTCTGTCACCCAGGCTGGAGTACAGTGGCATGCTCATGGCCACCAGAGCCTCAACCTGCCGAGCTCAGGCAATTCTTCCACCTCAGCCTTCCAAGTAGCTGGAACTACATGTGTGTGCCACCACTCCAAGCTAATTTTTTAATTTATAGTAGAGACGAGGTCTCGTCATGTTGCCCAGGTTGGTCTCGAACCCATGGGCCTAGGCAATCCTCTCACCTCCTTTCAAAGTACTAGGATTACAGGCGTGAGTCACCACGCCTGGCCTCCAGTCCAGATTCTAACTTAGACAAAGTCATTTCACAGAGACATCCTCCTACCTCGTTTTACAGCCCAGTTCATCCATCTGTCCTACGTTGGGCAGAAAGTCATACTATAACATTAGCAAGAGTCACATTTGTACTGATGATGTCTAGTGACCCCAGAAGTGTAAGTCTCCCAATATTAAGACCTACCAGATAGCAAGTGCCATTCAAAAATAGTTTAAAATGTCAACAGGAAACAATTTTTTTTTTTTGAGTTGGAGCCTCACTCTGTCGCCCAGACTGGAGTGCAGTGGCCGCTCCCGGCCACAGCAGCCTCGACCTGCTGGGCTCCGGCGATCCTGCTGCCTCAGCCTTCCAAGTAGCTGGAGCTACAGGCGTGTGCTACCACGCCCAGCTAATTTTTGATTTATTGTAGAGATGAGGTCTCACTAAGTTGCCCAGGTGGGTCTCGAACCTGCGGGCCCAGGCAATCCACTCACCTCGGCTTCCCAAAACGCTGGGATTACAGGCTGAGTCACCGAGCCCAGCCAATAGGAAACAATTATCACACCACTTCTATTATTCACCGAAAGGTTAGTTAACTGCTATGGCCCTGATCACAACACTCAGAAGATGAGGGGTGTGCCCAACCCCTTTAAGGACAGAAACTATTATGTAAAAAGTAAGCATTCTCAATTTTCAAAAGATATCAAACTATATTTTTTAAATTATATAAAGAAAAAAATTGGAAAGAAATACAGGTTGAACATCCCTAATATGAATATTCAAAATCTGAAATGCTCCAAAATCTGAAACTAGGTCATTTCAGATTTCAGACTTTCAGATTTGGAATGCTGAATGATTAAGTATGATGCTAATATTCCAAAAATTCAAAACACTCCTGGTCCTGAGCATTTCAGATAAGGAACAGTCAACCTGTACATAAAAACAGTTACAGGCCAAGTGCAGTAGCTCATGTCTATAATCCCAGTACTTTGGGAAGTCGAGATGAGAGGACTGCCTGAGCCATAGGTTCAAGACCAGCCTGGGCAACTTGGCAGGACTTCACCTCTACAATCAAAAAACTAAGCCGGGCTCGGTGGCTCAGCCTGTAATCCGCGCACTTTGGGAGGCTGAGGTGAGTGGATTGCCTGAGCCCGCGGGTTCGAGACCTGCCTGGGCAACTTGGTGAGACCTCATCTCTACAATAAAATCAAAAATTAGCTGGGCATGGTAGCACGCGCCTGTAGTTCCAGCTACTTGGAAGGCTGAGGCGGAAGGATCGCCGGAGCACAGCAGGTCGAGGCTGTGGTGGCCAGGAACGGCCACTGCACTCCAGTCTGGGTGACAGAGTGAGACTCCAACTCAAAAAAAAAAAACAAAAACAAAAAACTAGCCGGGGGTGATGGTGCACATCTGTAGTTCCAGTTACTTGGAAGGTTGAAGCAGAAGGATCACCTGAGTCCAGCAGGTCAAGGCTGCAGTGGCCGGGAATGTGCCACTGCCCTCCAGCCTAGGTGACAGAGTGAGACTCCAATTCAAAAAACAAACAAAAAAATGTACAATGGTTGCTTATAGGTGGCAGGACTGGGATAATTCATAAAATTTTTCTGTTTCTGAACATTCTACAGCAAAATCTACTAATTTTATAATCTGCATTGAAGCTTTACTTTAAAAGTCTCAATATTCAATGATGGGGAGATGGGATATTCTGGTTAAATTCTAGTTAATGGAGAGTTACTATAAAGTGGATGTATCATCAATTTTCAAAGAACCAATAAACCATACTGAAAATGAGTTTGGCCAGGCTCGGTGGCTCAGCCTGTAATCCCAGCACTTTGGGAGGCTGAGGCGAGTGGATTGCCTGAGCCTGCAGGTTCGAGACCCACCTGAGCAAATTGGTGAGACCTCGTCTCCACACTACATCAAAAATTAGCCGGGCATGATAGCATGCACCTATAGTTCTGTCTACTCAGAAGGCTGAGGCAGAAGGATCCCCAGAGCCCAGCGGGTTGAGGCTGTGGTGGCCGGGAGCATGCCACTCCCCTCCAGTCTGGGCGACGGAGTAAGACTCCAACTCAAAGGAAAAAAAAAAAAAGAAAATGAGTTCATCTTTTTATATGTCAGAAGACATTTCATAGGCTCATACAGAACTCCAGGGTCACTGTAATGTACATAAATCAAAACCAGGGAGATTTTTTTCTTAAACCCAGAAGCAAGAGTGGTGGCAGCTTCAACCTTCCCACACAGGCACACACCAGAAATTTGTTTTACCGAATCTCTGTTAGGAAAGAAATAGTAATCTAAGCATCCAGCAATGAGAGCTGTGAATATGCACACGGGTGCAGAAAATGAGTATTTTCATTTCTATGACCCTAACAAAATATGTGGAATATTACCTGTTTGAAGAAATAGTTGTTTTTGAGGTAAAAAACTGGAGAGAGACTGAGTCTTTGATTTCATAAGGAATTTTCCAAACAATGCCCAGAATAAACTGACATCAGGAATACTATAAAAGAAGTTTCACCTAAATTTAAATGGATTCTTGGCTTTAAAGAAAAAAAGGGGGGAGGTACAGTGGAGTTGAAACCAACAAGAGTAACTTAGTGAGACCTCGTATGTACAAAAAAAAGTTTTTTTTTAAATTAACTGCATCTATAGTCCTAGCTACTAGGGAGGCTGAGGCAGTAAGATCACTTGAGCCAAGGAGTTTGAGGCTGTGGTGAGCCGTGATCATGCCACTGACCTCTGCCTGGGCGACAGAGTGAGATGCAAACACACACACAAAAAAAATTTTTTTTTTTTTTTTAGTTGGAGTCTCACTGTCGCCCAGAGACTGGAGTGCAGTGGTCGCTCCCGGCCACCACAGCCTCGACCTGCTGGGCTCCGGCGATCCTTCTCCCTCAGCCTTCCAAGTAGCCGGAATTACAGGCATGCGCTACCACGCCTGGCTGATTTTTTTGATTTATTGTAGAGATGAGGTCTCGCTGCCCAGGCAGGTCTCAAACCCGCGGGGTCAGGCAATCCATTCACCTCAGCCTCCCAAAGGCACAGGATTACAGGCTGAGCCACCGAGCCCGGCTACACACACAAAATTTATTTTTTTAAACCAGGTATGGTGGCTCATGCCTGTAATCCTAGCACTTTGGGAGGTGGAGGCAAGAGGATTGACTGAGACCACAGGTCTGAGACCAGCCTGGGCAACTTAGTGAGACCTCATCTCTACAATAAATCAAAAAATCAGCCAAGTGTACTGGTGAGTGCCTATAGTTCCAGATACTTGGGAGGCTGAGGCAGAAGGATTCCGTGAGCCCAGATCGAGGCTGCACTGGCTGTGAGCATGCCACTTCACTCTAGCCTGGGTGACAGAGTGAGACTCCAACTAAAAACAAAACAAAGCAAACAAACAAATAAAACCCCAAAAATGATTTTTCTAACATTCACTATGCAGCAAAACTTCAGTCTCCCCAAGGATCAAAGGCATTTTAATATCTACTTACAACTTTTTTCCTGTGTAACATCTGTTCAAAATTACAGACATACATATGTATATATTCCTCCAAAACTTCCTATATTTGAGGCCAGGAACAGTAGCTCATGCCTATAATCCTAGGCCAAGGCAAAGGATTGCTTGAGTCCAGGAATTCAAGACTAACCTAGGCAACACAGCAAGACCTCATCGCTATAGAAATAAAATAAAATAAAACTTCCGATATTTTACTTAATTATACTCATTTATTTATGACACTCTTCTACATAACATAAATGTCCAATTATAGGAAAATGATTAAACAATGAAAAATTCAGAAAATCTATTGTGACAGCATTAAGAGTGTTTATTTCTTTCTTTTTTCTTTTTCTTTTTTATTTTTGAGATGGAGTCTCACTCTGTCACCCAGGCTGGAGTGCGGTGGTATGCTCACTCTCACTCTCAATCTACTGGGCTAAGGTGATCTTTCTGCCTCAGCTTCCAAGTAGCTGGAACTACAGGCATGCGCCACCATGCCTGGCTAATTTTTTGACTTACTGTAGAGATGAGGTCACGCCAAATTGCCAAGGCTGGTCTCAAACCCATGGGCTCAGGCAATCCTCTCACTTCGGCCTCCCAAAACGCTGGGATTATAGGCGTGAGCCACCATACCCAGCTAACAGTGTTTATTAAAAGCATATAATAGGCCAGGCGCGGCGGCTCAAGTTTGTAATCCCAGCACTTTGGGAGGCTGAGGCAAGAAGACTGCCTGAGCCCACAGGTTTGAGACCAGCTTGGGCAACTTGGCGAGACCTCGTCTCTACAATAAATAAATTTTTTTTTTTAATTAGCTGGGCGTGGTAGTGCACACCTGTAATTCCAGCTACTTGGAAGGCTGAGGCAGAAGAATCACCTGAGCCCAGCAGGGTGATGCTGTGGTAGCCATGAGCGTGCCACTGCAGGCCAGTATGGGCAACAAAGTGAGACTCCAACTCAAAAATAAAGTAAAAGCATATAATAAACCAGCAGGGGCAACTTGGCAAGACCTCGTCTCTACAATAAATCAAAAAATTAGCCGGCGTGATGCCGTGCGCCTGTAGTTCCAGCTACTTGGACAGCTGAAGTGGAACGATCGCCCGAACCCAGCAGGTTGAAGTCATGAATATACCACTGTACTCTAGCCTGGGTGACAGAGTGAGACCTCAACTCCAAAAAAAAAAACATCTGAACTACTGATTAAAGATATCTAAGACAAAAAGAGGTGAAATATATCTATTAAGAAGAAAAGAACTGCAGGGAGAGGAGGAGGAGCCAAAGTGAAAGAGGAAGAAGAGATGGGTTAAGGAAAAGTGAAGATGGTAGGGGTTCAGGAAAATAAAAGTAGGAAGCTATAGGACGGGCGTGGTGGCTCAAGTCTGTAATAATCCCTGTACTTTGGGAGATTGAGGTAGGAGGACTGCCTGAGCCCAGGGGTTTGAGATCAGACTGGGCAACTTGGTGAGACCTCATCTCTACAATAAATAAAAGAATAAGCTGGGCGTGGTAGCACGCACTTGTAGCTCGTTACTTGGAAGGCTGAGGTGGAAGGATCACCTGAGCCCAGCAGGCCGAGGCCGGGGTGGCCATGAGTGTGCCACTGCACTCCAGCCTGGGTGACAGAGTGAGACTCCAACTCAAAAAAAAAAAAAAAGAAAGTAGGACGCTATGAGGATAAAAACAAACATCTTGGCAAGGCCCAGGCCCTATCATAAGGGGAAGAGTCCCAGGGCAACTATATTAATGTTCTCATTTTCTTCTTCTTCCCTTTCACATAGTTATTAAATTATTATTACATGAAATTACACTCTAAAAACAGCTTCCTAATACAAAATAGCAATTCAATATCTCAGGAATCTATCAGTCACACTTCTACAGTAATTACAGTAATACCTGCAATCAAGAATTTCCCAGGCCAGGGGTGGTGGCTCACACCTATGATCCCAGCACTTTGGGAGGCCAAAGTGAGAGGACTGTCTGAGACCACGGGTTCAAGATCAGCCTGGGCAACTTGGTAAGACCCCAACTCTACAATAAATCAAAAAATTAGCCGGGCATGGTGGCATATGTCTGTAGTTCCAGCTACCTGGAAGGCTGAGGTGGAAGGATAGGTTTAACCCAGCGGGTCGAGGCTGCGGTGGCAGGGAGTGTGTCACTGTCCTCCCACCTGGGTAACAAATGAGACTCCTACTCAGAAAAGAAAAAAAAAAAGAATTTCTCAAAATATGAACTGATCCAATAAATTCTCTAATTTACAGAAAAAGATGGTTTGGTAATCATCACATTTCACCAACAAACACATGTGTAACTGCTATTATTTGTCAATGCCAGACTACACTACATTCAAGAAAAAAGTCTCACTTTCCCCTTTTTTTGGAGTCAAAGTCTCACTATATCGCCCAAGTTGGAGTGCAGTGGCACGCTCATAGCTACCTGCTGGACTCAGGCAATCCTTCCACCTCAGTCTTCCAAGTAGCTGGAACCACAGGCGTGTGCCAACACACCCAGCTAATTAACTGCCCAGGCTGATCTCAAATCCCTGGGCTCACACAATCCTCTCACCTCTGCCTCCCAAAGTGCTGGGATTACAGGCGTAAGCCACCATACCCAGTCAGAAAAAAAGTTTTATTTCTTCTTTCTGAGGTCTCAAAGACATTTTAGAGCCTCAGTTCCTTCACCAGTAAAATAGATAGTAAACTGAATAACCAGCCAACTCTAAAAGGACCATAAAACTATAATGGGAGAACAAAATGAAAGAAAAAATATTTGGCCGGGCTCAGTGGCTCAACCTGTAAACCCAGCACTTTGGGAGGCTGAAGCAAGTAGATTGCCTGAGCCTACGGGTTTGAGACCAGCCCGGGCAACTTGGCAAGACCCCATCTCTACAATAAATCAAAAATTAGCTGGGCATAGTAGTATGCGTCTATAGTCTGACTACTTGGAAGGTTGAGGCAGAAGGATCACTAGAGCCCAGCAGTGACTCCAACTCAAAAAAAAAAAAGAAAGAAAAATACTAATCTTTCAAAAATTAAGTATTGAATATTCAAGACAAGTGATACCATTATATACTATACACAGAATACTTTTTAAAAATAATTTTACTGACAAAATTAAAAGGTGATCACCATATGGTAATCTCTTTTTTTTTCTTAATGTTACTGATCCATGAAAGCGGAAAGTCTGGAAACTATCTTCTTACAACAAATATAAAGTAACCTCAAACAAGTCTCATCATAAAAATTTAAAGAACAGGCCAGGTGCGGTGGCTCACGCCTGTAATCCTAGCACTCTGGGAGGTGGAGGCAAGAGGACTGCCTGAGTTCAGGGTTTCGAGACCAGCCTGAGCAACATGGCAAAATCTCGTCTCTACAATAAGTCAAAAAATCAGCTGGGCATGGTGGCACATGCCTTTGGTTCCCGCTACTTGGAAGGCTGAGGCAGAAGGGTCACCTGAACCCAACAAGTCAAGGCTGCAGTGACCGTGAGCATGCTACTGCACTCCAGCCTGGGCAACAGAGTGAGTCTCCGACACACACACAAAAAGAACACACTTTTGCATACTACCAGACATGAAACAAGAACTCAACAAAGGTTGGTAAATTAAATATAACTTCTAAGAGAGTAAACCATTTTCAAAGCACACTATCAGTAAGTAAACTGGTAAGCCTAGAGACAAAATGTAAATTTTATTTGAACACAACTTTATTAGAATCTTTATTTTTTCTGAGCTAAGATTATGGTTATTAAGACAATTAATTTTATGAGACCTTACTTTCAATCTAAGTCTGAAAATCAGCCAAAGACACTTAATGTAAAAAACTGCCCACAAGGGAAAAGAAATTCATAAGCTGCATGATCTATCACTGTCCACAAGCTGTGTGTTTTCAAAACTAAGCCCCTTTTTTTTGTAGATATGAGGTCTTGCTGTTACCCAGGCTGCTCTCAAACTCCTTTATCTGCACAACTAAAAATGGAAGGTCAACAATACACTGATTCATACTGTGGAGCACTTCAATAGTTCAGAAAGCTTTTTCTTTATGGATTCTTGTTTCAATTCAGCAGGAACGCTGCAAGTTCAGATTTTTCCTGAGTACCACTGTTTTATGGAGAACTAAACAGGAAAATTTGTATCACTAACCTACAGAAACAAGGTCTAAACAGATCTGAAATTTCGAAAAGGAAAGAAGTATGTATACATGGCTATGGAAACAAAGATAAAACACTCTTATAATAGCAGTTGTTTTGGGGTAGTGGGATTACAGGTTGGCTTTTTGGTTTTTGGCTTTGTACTATTTGTTTTCTGGGTTTCTTGTATTGAGCACATACGGATATATCTATCTACAGACTGTCATGCACACATACTTTGTAACTTGGGGAGAAAAAAAGCACCCTGAAAGTAGAATACAGTTTTTTAAATACCTTGAGGCTATATTAAGCCACAAAGAAAATCATAATAAAATCAGGCACTCTAGTTCATGCCTGTAATCCCAGCAAGCACTCTAGGAGACCGAGGCAGGAAGAACATTTGAGCCTAGGAATTTGAGGTCAGCCTGGGCAACACAGTGAGATCTCATTTTTACAAAAAAATTTAAAAATTAGCCAGGTAAGGTGGCATGCGCCTGTAGTCCCAGCTACTTGGGAAGTGTAGGCAGAAGGATCCCATGAGCCCAAGAGTTTGAGGCTGTGGTAAGCCACGATTGCACTACTGCACTCCAACTTGGGTGACCAAGTGAGACCCTAACTCAAAAAAAAAGAAAACTATAATAAATTTCCAAAATTAAAAGTAACATCCTCAACAGTCAAAAGGAAAAAAAAACTGAAATTACACTGGAATATAAAAAGTTCTCCTACCTGAATTTTTAAACTGTCTCTTATTTATTTTTTTTTTTTTTTCCTGAGATGGAGTCTCACTCTGCCGCCCAGGCTGGAGTGCAGTGGCACGCTCCCGGCCACCACAGCCTCGAGCTGCTGGGCATCAGCAATCCTTCAACCTCAGCCTTCCAAGTACCTGGAACTACAGGCATGCGCTACCACACCCGGCTAATTTTTTAATTTATTGTAGAGATGAGGTCTCACCAAGGTGCCCAGGCAGGTCTCGAACCCAGGGGCTCAGGCAATCCACTCACCTCAGCCTCCAAAGGCGTGGGATTACAGGCTGAGCCACCGAGCCCGGCTGCTAACTCAACTTTTTAAAGGAAAAAAATTAAATATACAAAACAGAGAAAATTAAGACAATCCTAAAACACTGCTTTGTTCACCACTTGCAAGTGCACTTGAAAAACAGGGTAGGGGGTCAGAGGGGGGGTCACAAAAAGAAAAAGAAGGCAGCAGACAGCAGACACTCTTGCTGCTGCCCTGCCCATTGTGCCCTTCACAATGTACCTTCTCTTTAATAAATATTTCTTAATTAAAAAAAAAGAAAAAGAAAACCAGGATAAGTCGGACACAGTGTAATTCCAGCACTTTGGGAGGTGGAGGCAAGAGGATTGCCTGAGCCCAAGGGCTCAAGACCAGGCTACTTGGCGAGACCTCGTCTCTACAATAAATCAAAAAATTGGGGCCAGGCTCGGTGGCTCAGCCTGTAATCCCACGCTTTGGGAGGCCGAGGTGAGTGGATTGCCTGAGCCCACGGGTTCGAGACCCAGCTGGGCAACTAGGCGAGACCTCACCTCTACAATAAAACAAAAAAATTAGCTGGGTGTGGTAGTACGCGCCTGTAGTTCCAGCTACTTGGAAGGCTGAGGCGGAAGGACCGTCGGAGCCCAGCAGGCCGAGGCTGGGGTGGCCGGGAGCGGCCACTGCACTCCAGTCTGGGTGACAGAGTGAGACTCCAACTCAAAGAAAAAAAAAAAAAATTGACTGAATGTGGTGGTATGT